TAATTTAATTTTGTAATGAAGATTTCGAAGATTTAGGCACAAATGTTTTAAGATTGTTTAATTCACAAATGTTACGTAAACGTGTAACCTAAATAAATCTCTTTCAAACAAATAACTCAAAATCAAAATATTGGTAACAGTCCATTAATTTGGCGGAAGCAAGAATAACTGAGAAAACTATTACCAGTTTTGTAGGAAATTTAAAAATGAATTACTCTAAAAAATTGTTAGGAAGAATTCACTTCAACATAACCATGTAAAAACGATAATATTACGTATTCATATACCTAAGTTGCTAAAGAATAAATGGGAAGTGTCTAGTAGTGGAATCCAGGACGTGCATTTCATCCTATTTGATACTCGTCATTTGAATGTACTTCCATCCCGGAGTTGATGTTCACTCCGGGATGCAGATCCAATACCATTTGCTTCAATCACCATAGCGTTATCCACTAAGTTAATGAATCCAGTTAGCCACTTACTTGAAATAGCTTGGATTACCTCGCTGTTGATATTCTGACTGAAATGTGGTCAGTCTTGGTTGGCATGTAAATATCCTGTGAGGATCGCCTCGATATACCCATTATGAAACAAGTTTATTCGGAATAGATGGAATGTGGCTGGCAGTGGAAGCCAGGGAGTGCATTTCCATATCAAATTGTGTCATAATGAGTATATTGTGGCAATCCTCACAGTATGCTCATGTGCCGACCGAGAATGATCAAACTTCAGTCAATGAGTTATTCAGTGAGTAAACGACCAGCAAGTAAAGTAGGAATGTTAAAGTGGATTACAATCTTAATGCATGACTTTTTTATAAGAATATGAAGAAAATAATGATTTTTCTATATTCTATTCGCCGTAACTCTTCAGAGAATTGATTAATAAAGATTTTATAGGGAATGATAAATTTTCCAGAAAACTCATTTTTGCTGTGAGAGAGGTTCAGAAAGAAACCCTTAGTGCTGATGAATTCACATTTAGATTAATGAGAATTTATGGTAATATTTTCACAATATTTAGATTAGATGACTGAGATTATTCTCAGTCTTGAAAAACCAATAAACTTTTTAAACCCACTGAAGTCTGACAGGTTTATTTATTTCGTTTGGAAAATCCTTTTCACTCGTGAAACCTATCTGTTCATTGGCTAAAAATTGGTTTCAAAATCGTGCGGTCATTTCAAGAATCACTCAAGCACATTCTCATAGTTTTGCCGAAATATCCGTGTTATAAACGTTATCTTAGTTTAAAATCAACCATGATTAACTGCAGGTGTATAAAATTTATCTTTTATTTGTAAAAGTTAAACGCTGCAGTGTGTTTCTAACGTTCCGTGAGTTATTTGGATCTGACGACAAACGTATTAAGTAATATATGAATAAATTTTATTACGTTTTCAATTGACAGGTAGCCTTTTTTAACTATGTGGTATTAAAATCTTAGAATGCACCACATCAAACTTATAAACTCACTTCATTACCAAACCATTTTCTAATTTACTGTGAATATTGATCGAGATTAAACAAATGTACGACATCACACTTTGCTCTTTTTCCAATTAAGCTCAACCTGATTGTAATTATCGGTTACTCTTATGTTATTCAACGCTAATCATACTAAAAATCAGTATTTATTTAGTATGAAGAGATGACTTCTAGCCGTCACAAAATATAATTTTTTTACTTCAAAAGAAACATTATATAACTCAGAAATGTACCGATAATTGGCTCAAAGTCGATTTACAAAGCAACCAAAGTTGGGAATTATTTACTACAAAAATATCGAAGCTATAGAAGTTTGAAAACTGATAAAATCCAAATAAATTATCGCTTGAACTAACAAATCGTTTTAGTTGCCTGATTTTGTATTCGACAATTGAAATATTGAACTGAGTGCATAGATATGTTTCAAGTTTAGCAGTAAACAAACGCATGTAAGCACTAACAAGCATTATACACACTGAATTAGTTGATTACTTTATTGACTCAGTAATCTAAAGAGTGACATACTAACGTTCGAAGGAACTGTTATATTGTTTGAGTGTTCATATGAGCATTAGTACTATGATAACACTAAATCAAATTGACCGATTCCAGATAGTACAAAACACGAGTCCTGGATTTAATTTCTATTCTCGACCCGAACTACAATCAATTTGTAGCAGCAAACAATATTGATGGACCAGCTGAAGGAGACAATAAGCCAGTAGCGAGTGATTAAATTGAATCCTTAAATATCTGTAATACGCAGAGAATAGATCTTTGTGAGTAAATGTTTCTTCGTACAAAGACTGAATGAATAAACATTCTTAATTTAACAACATTTAGCTGCAGATTTTTGATAAACGAATATTGCAACATACATTATCTAGTCAAAACTAAAAATTACATTACATTAATTAATTATTAACGTCATCGCTTAAAATTTAATCATCATAATTTCATTTAACTAGATCATACTAGGAACCTCGACCTTATATGTTAAATAGCTTTAAAATCATTTAATAAAGCAATCTTAGTCACATGGTTTTGACATAAACACCTTTTTTCTGTCTTTAATACCTTTACAATCATTGAGCTACATTTAATTACATAAACAAATGATTAATGTATATATATCGTATAATTATGAACAGAACTATATTTGAGAAATTTTCATCAACATTTTTATGGTTTTGTTGGAAAATACATCTACAAGTGATGGAAACACTGAGTTAAATGTAGTATGAAAATAGAATCCTTACGATCATTAAAGTAGACAAACTATTTAATGTTCCCATGTTGTAAAGCGTAAAAATCTACTAATTTTCACTTTACGGAAAGGACGGATAAATAATGAAACTTAAATAAAATAAAGTTTATGAACGTAAAGAAATTCCATGAAGACAAATGATAAGAGAATTTACAAGACTAAATATCGTATGAGATTTATATTCATTTATATGTTCATTCATTAATCTAGTTACGATCATTAGAAATTATCATCGTTTTATTATTCTGTTGCGTACAATATGTCTTAACTAGTCTCAAATGGACTAGAAATATTCTTGATTTTAAGTGATTGGAAGCCGTTCGCAGTATGTTCCAGAAAGGTGATTCCGTTAATCAAAGACATCTGATTTCACCTGCTATTTACACATAAGTCACCTAGAGCCACAACCATGAACATAATCAACGAGCTGTTTGAGGTCTGATTGATCTTTGATTGGACTGAGATATTTATATTGTTTGATCATTGTATAGAAATCAATCGAATCAATCAATCGAATTCTACCGATCAAACTGCAATGTGTTTACAAGTTTCACAGTAAGTCCACTCAAGACTGAGGATGCATCATGTTGACAAAAACACTAACTGATTATTGTTACGTTTGGATGTAGAGTACTAATAAGATACAACAATCCACTTGTTAAATCTAAAGGCTTTTATCAACTGAGGTCGTTAGCACATTTATTATACTTACACATAAATCGTATACACGCTTAACTGACTAACACAAAGTAATTTAGAAAATGTTGTCAGTGGATGATCAAGATATTGTATGGAGTCACAGACAGCTAGTCTGCGTCAAGTCAATTGGTAAAGACCTCTTCATTATGGTTGGTGAGTGAATTTGCTTTAATCAATTAATGAGTACATGATGATAGTAATTTATGACATACATTTTGCATGAATTCAATGTTTCCTATCGTAAATTAAAAACTAATTGTTTTTATTATGTTGTACTGTTATGTCTGTTAAGAATTTTTATCGTCGAAATAACACCATGGGCTATAGTTTGGTCATACTTCTAATTCGAATGTTTTAATAATTCAGCAGGGACTAAATAGTTATTGTTCTTAGTTCATTTTTGTATTATTTGCTTGAATCTCTTTATTGATGCTTAGAAATTCAATTGATCAGTCTCCAATCGGCATATGTGTATCCTGTGCGAATTTCCTCGATATTGCCCTGATTCACAGACATTATAAGCAAAGATGGATTGTTGCTAGCAGTGAAATTCAGGACGTGCGTCTCATTTTATTCGGGACTCGTCAGCTGGATGTGCCTACATCACAGAGTTAATGATCGTTCCGGGACTCAAACTCAGTGCCAAGACGGAACCAATATGGATCAAGGTTTAGTCAATATATTAACAACTGGGAAATCCAAACTGCTAAAAATCCTATTAGAATGTATCTTAGTTTAGTAGTGAATATTAAAATGTAAGCTGTTTACGTATAATATTTCCCAAGTATTTTTTGTTCAAATGTAAATGCTTTATACACTGGATATACGGCATTCTTATCCTCTATTCGCGTTGATATAAATCCATTTTATAGTCATGTGCTTCCTTTATTACCAGTTTAATGATTACACTTCAGTCCAAATGTCAGAATAAATTGCTACATTTATAGATGCTTAAAGTGATGCGTAGTGTACATCGGCCTCAGGCGAAAATATGTTGTGTATAAGATTTCAAACACAGATATAATAATAAACAAATTTCGAACTCAAACGAATATGATCTTTTATGAACAATCACAATTAATAAATGCCTATAACTTTCTGATATTTCTTATACTACTTAAAGTAGTTTGAAATGAAAAGCTAATCGTTAAGCCATCGATAAACGTTTAACTTTTAGAAAATCAAATTTCAAAGAATACGAATGGAAAATATGCATCGTTATATTTCTCACGCTGAAATAGTATATATCATATCATAATTATAAGGATTATCATACAGTTGGATAAAACTATAATTATGTTTTGCATTATCATTGGAAAGTAAATACAAACAAAGAAGTCGAAGCAATGACAGAATAAATCATAGCATATCAAGGTTTAAAAGTAACAGTAGAACTAGAAAAACCAAGTTAGAAATTGCACAGTAAGCATGAATTTACATAGGATTCAACAGAAGGAATTATCATATAGGGACAAAAACCATTGATAATTGAAAACTAACCAGATATACAATAACACATAACACTTCTTTCTCAACGCTTTTCTTAACTAATCAAGTAGCGGCGTTGTTATTGTTGTTTCTGAGTGTTTTAAAATATCCGACTCATCTTCCTTATCTTTCATTTGTAACTCTTTCACCATTCGTAGTATATCCTTTACAGAGAAGTGTATCCCTTTATCTAAACATATAGTAACGCGTATCAGTCCGTTTGTATCGATTACAAAAATGCTCCTACATCAAGCAAAAATAGGTAAGCGTCAATGAACAACAACTAAATGGTAATTTGTAAGAAAGACTATTAATGTTTTTTTTCTCTTAACCATATAAAACTGACCAACATTTGTGAAACTAATGAAATGACGTATACAGATGTTGGTATTGCTGTACCAAACGTATTCTTTGATAAATGTTATAAAATTCGGCAACAAACTGAATTCGATTTACCTTACAATGACGGAAAATATATTTATATCAAATTGATTAAGTGTATATAAATTATTTTCTTTCGAAACAAATTGATCATTGAGATTACTTTTTAGGAGGAACTTTCTCAGATTTAATATGACACTCACAGAGTAGAGACATATGTGGCCATATGAAGGAAAACGACAGTTAGTTAATGAGAGGAAACGCTACCAACACCTCACATTATTTGTTGTAAGAATGGTAGTTAAAATTCAGATTTCGCTAAACAGAAAACAACATGGTATGTAGGGGGCTGAAGGTTATATATTTTGTATAATGTGGAACTAACATTGATTTAATTCAACTTAATAGCAGTGTAGTGTGGTCTACTTATATCCATGTAAGTAGTATATGGCGATGATCAGACATAGAATGTATTTTGGCAGAAGACCGACAAGGAAAGAATCGAAATGAAGCGCAATTGGTGGGAAAATGCATGAACAATGGAATTAGAGAAGATGAACTGATATTTATAGAAGGAACAGTGAAGATTGAGACAATTGGTTGTTAATTTTCAAATTAATTGTTCATTGTATGGTTATCAGAATTTAGTGACAAAGTCTGTAATTTTTGCTTAAATACATTCAATTGTCCTCAACAAGTGTTTTCATTCACTACAGCAGTAAATCATCAGCTGACTGAAATTGGAGTTTGAGTTCAAGTCTCTCTTTCAACAATTGTCACGAACCAGCTATTTCAGCCAATAAATCACACAGTGCCAACCGCATTCCGCTAAATATATCATTTCTTGAGTGTAAATTTTTCGATATACACCAAGCCTCAACCAAGTCTATCTAATGATAGTTAACAGAAATAATTCGTTCGATTTTGTTTATTTACAAAAGGAATAAAAATAATCTGATGCCCCTGTAAAACTATATAATAAACGTTGCGACTTAAGGTGTGATGTTTCTAAATTTGGTTAATGTTTTACAGAAATTTTGTTTTGTAATGTAAAATATGTAGTTTCGCCATTATAGTAATATATGCAAAATTGACATCTAAGTGCCTTTGGAAGAGAAAAAGGTGATGCATGAATATTGATTTAATTGCTTTTATAATTACTAAAAGTTATCATTTTGCACTGGAATATATATATATATATATATATATATATATATATATATATATATATAGAATAAAATGAAATGTTACTTAGTAATTGACAAAATATATCATGACCAGTATTGCTATTCAGTCATATACCTGTCCATAATTAATTAAAAACTTCTGTAAAATACACCCATCGTTACCCATGGCAACCTTAGATCGATAACACACATCTTTTATCCTCCTCCTTTAAAACTTTTACTACAGTAGTTATGTACAAATGAGATTCTGATGATATTAATAATGATAATAATAATAATAGTGATAAGCAAAGATGAATAGTGGCTAACAGTGGGATCCAGGACACGCTTTTCGTCCTATTTCGGACTCGTTAGCTGAATATCAGAGTTAATGTTCACTCTAGGCATTGTACTTAGTACCGTTCTCTTCAAATGCTATCGCGTTATTTAAACCTCACCCCATCTCACAAGCAAGTGGCTATCAGGATCTGAGTGAGTAATGGATTGACGTTTGAAGAGAACGGTACTGAGTTCAAGTCCCAGAGTGAACATTAACTGTGAGATTCAGTTGACGAATCCCGAATAGGACGAAACGCGCGTCCCGCATTCCACTACTAGCCAACATCCTTCTTTGCTTATAATGCCTGTGAGTTAAGGCAATATCGAAACAATACGGACAGTATGCATATATGCGATTAAGGGGCTGGTCAACTTCAGTCTTAAGCATCAATGGAAAGCTTCAAGTAAACAGTACCAAATGAATAATGGTGATAATATTATTAATTATAGTCTTAATAATAAACACAAGTTACTACGTCAAACAGAATATTTTTTATTAATTAATTTCAAATAATTTATGAAGAATAGACTTATTCATAGCTGAATGCTGTTTGATACAATCCCTTAAAGTAGTTTTAATTGGTTGGAGCTAGTCAGTAGGAAGTCCTGAAAGTAAGTTTAATGTTAGCTCTTATTCGTTGACAAAATTGATGCTGACCAGTCATGTATGACATTTATCAACGTTGTGCTATAGTCGATAATTTGGTCTCTCGAACAGCCGTAGCTCCGTAAATAATCTTATTGAGGTTTGAAGCGATAGGTATCAGATTCTAGTCTTGTTGCTAATATGGGCACTGAGATACAAGTAATTCCCCGTGACAAGACCCAAGTGGGACAGAATGTTCATCATGCATCTCATTACTAGCCATCATCAAGACATATCCAGGTAACAGTCATAATATTTCTTACGGAATTTGTAATCTAGTCTTCGTCCTTACTATCACTTTTTATTTTAATGAATTAAAATGATGATTATAAAGGTGAAATGCACCACGATTTCTTTCAAAACCTTTACGTAATGACCTATATAATCCCATTAAATTATACGTTTACATCTGTTTTTGCTAATAAACATGATAACTTGTCTCTCAGCGTATACCTTGGTGTTTTTCTCTTCGATGTAGTTATCAGTTGTGTAAAAAAGCTTTCTGTGTCCAAATAGTGACCTCTTATGTTGCGTAACTTGAATACCATTTAGAATTATACTAAAAAGTTGATCTGATACACGAAGAAGCTCCAGCTGAAAAATGTAACCAATCTACTGTATTTTCATTATAATTTATTTCAATAAATTCAAGGAAAAGGGAAATGTATATCACTTTGGCTTAAATGCTGTTTGTGTATTCAGTGATCTAGATAAAAACTAACTCAAAAATTTCTATATCGTTACTAGGAACGATTTGAATCATTTCACTGTTGGTAAAAAAAGACCGAATTTGACACATTTGTTGACGAATGTGCACGCTGTACAGATTGTATAAGTATAGCCATTATGTTACACGTTATATAGAACAGAACAATCGCGGCTGATAGTAGAATCCGGAATGCACATTTGTTTTTGTTTGTGACTCTTCAGTTAGACGCTGATGGTCACACTTATACTTGAAACCAATACCTTTTTTCTCTAAACGCCAAATCTATTGTCCACTTGGTGAATTATGAAATCAAACGTTTATTTAAATTATTGGCAATACTTGGAGATATATCCAATGTTTAGGAGACTTACATATTGTGTGAATGTTCAAATTAAGCAAAAGCGTAAAAAGAACGGGAATAGCCCATTTTTAACTTCCCCTCCACTTATTTAACTTTCCAAATAAGTAAACAATATGCTTTATCAAAATCTGCAATATCAACAAGAATTAACATTCACCCTTTCTTCACTACAGTAACAGCCATCTAAAATAATGTTTATATTTATGTTTCAATGAACCTGAATAAATGTTCTCTAATATGAAAACATGATGTTTACGTTCAATTTTAGCCGGTATACTCTAAAAATAGAAAGATGACTATATTGAGCTTTCTGCGAGCTATGATACATACATCCTACTACTTCAGCATATCACTTTGTTTAGCTGTGACTGAATATAATGACGTTTTTTCAGTTTTACGGTAAGTATTGGAATTAATAATCACACGAATTTCGTTAACATTAAACTGAGGGTTAATACATTATTGACTAGGTGATTGGAGAGAACAAATACTACATTTCGAGTGTGGACCTCACGCTGTTCAGTCCTAGTCAGCAGAGCGATTCTACCTTCTTAAAGAAGCTGGCATTCTTCATTATTAATATCATATTCGAAGATAGTATTGGTTAACTAATCTATAAGCGATCGATTTCCCGCAGAATTAAAACCGATTGCTGAATAGTTTCCAGTCTCGAGTTTGTATTTCTTAGTTTTAAATAAATTTTATCGAAAATGTACCTATCTATTGATGAATAGTAACTGAACTTAAATAATTTTCCAAAGCTTACAATATGACCAATGTTACATAGGATTATTAGTCCTAATTCCTCCACTCCATTACAATGGAAAATTCTTATAAAAAGACTTACATTAAAGCACTTCCATTATCCTCGTTAGAAACTCCATATGCTTTGCAGATTCTCATGTTTTTATCTTCCAATAATGGAAAGTGGACATTTTCATCAAGCCCATTCTTCTGAATTGGCGCGCAATACCATGCGATATGAGATTCTAGGGAATCAGGGGAGATCGCTAAAATTTCACAATTGATTTCTTGAAAGTCTGACAAATAACCATTAAAATTTAATAGCTCTTCTGATGAAAGTTTCAGGCTATAAATAATTTCATATGAAAAATACTGATAAATTAACTGTGCTCTACAAATGATGAAGACAGTTGCACAAATAACAATATACTGTAATAGTATTTAGTCATTCAGTGATTTAAGAAAGTTAGGAAAAAAACCCGAATACAAGTCACATACTGGTTATCACTCTTTAGTAAGATGTCTGAAATGTAAAGGAAACTAATGCTACCTGTAGCACGTGGTTTGAATCTCAATAGTAGAATCAGTTCTCACGACAATGCAGGCTATCCTCGTTAACTAGTGGCAATTAACACGAAAACTATCCCCAGAGCTTTTTTAATTGTTTTACAACACCTAACATCAAAACATAGTATACCCGACATTTTGACCTCAATCAGCATTATTAATCAGACGAGCTTTAATTTCTACACGGTTGACGTTGACATCAAGATATCCGTTCCAGATTTTTATCGAAATACCAATAATTTTGAATGAATCTTTTATCAAGGGAAGGACTGGTAGTCCACTTACTGCTTTTATTACTCTTCACTAAACAATGGACAAATACATCATGATATGTACGTATTGATCTAACTACTAGCCTAATATGTACGTTGAAAGGTCTTATAGATGATTACTTCACGTAAAATTGAAAACAATGATCTATCGCTTTCACAGTGAATTAAAAGAGCAGAATTCCTGCACAGTGGCTAAAAGAGAAGCTAGGTTAACATTATAATCGTTTGTATGCGTATATATTCAGTAAAATTATTATAAATCGCCTCATTGATTTTTTCCGGGAAAACATGGAGTGAACGCATTCAATCAAAGGTTAATGTTCAAGTTAATATCGTTTGATACTTAATCCTCATCTAATCTTGCTGACCAGGCTCTTAACGTGATAATTGAAGTAGCCAACTCATATTTAGTTTATTGGAGTGGAATGGTTGATTTATATCGGTCGAAAGTAAGTGAAATATACTCCTGAATTCAATCGGTTCTCGGTATGGATCATAAGGTATCCAAAAGACATTATTACGTCACTGTCAAGCTTTTTACATAGTTGAAATCCACTAGTCTTCACTTTTCCTCAAGGTTATTCTTAAAGCTAATAATTGATAAGTAAATGATTATTATTTGGTTGAATGGTCTGTAGAAATTAGTTGAATTTGGATTGATAGCAATAATTACCCCAATTGTTTTTTAGCATATTCTGCTTTTTATCGAAACACCCTAAGTTTTTGAAACTGCCACTGAATTGTCATACTAAATAATGTTATCCATGTTGCATCACAAAACGATCACGCTTCCTGTGTTCTTCTCTGCTAACCCTTAAATAGACAATCAAATATCTGTTCATATGTTTAGTTCAACCCCGTAACTCTTTTGAGTTGTCGGTTCTTGATGTACATTCGGTTTAAAGCATGACAAACGGAATGGTTGGATCGATATCTTCCTTATTTCTCTTTTGTTTTTTTGTTCTAACTAATTGTCAACGCATACACAAATTGTTCTTTCCATTCGTTGTTGATGAATTTTGACAGGACCGTTGTGTGGTTATTTTAAGTACTAAGTTTGCAAAACTTTGAATATAGCTTTCTGGTTTTGACTGACTTTTGGTTATATATATATATATACTCTTTGGTGTAACCTTGAGAATTCGAAGAATTAGTATTGCTTAAATTATAAAACTCTACACTGGTATAATAGTGTCTTCCAAAAAAATATTTATCGGTTAGGCCGAAGCTGTAGGTATACATTGAAGCGCCGATTATACTTTGCGTTTTGCTATGCTTATTACGCATTCTATGCCTTTTTATGTCTTGCAAACAAAAACAGTTCACATTTGGCAAACACATTTTTTTCATGAAGAAGAAATGATTTACCGAAATCCGCATTCTCTTTTTTCAGCTTCGAAGTAGTCACTCAAATATCGTTTACTAGGATCTCTGAGTAACTTTCATTAACATGCTCTGAAGTCAGCATGGCAAAATATTTTTTAGTTTTAAGATTCAGTTGACCAGTGGGGGATGGCTTTGATGATTCATCAATAAACTAATTTATAGTGAAACTTTAAAAGTGAACCCAGCGAATAATTGGATTCAGCCATGTGGGAAGCTCGTTAAGACAAAAGCGGAACCCTGATAAAAATGCCGACTTGATAGAAGTCTTAGGGCCAAATTAATGAAACATTGAGCGAATTCCTGGACGTTGCCCCACCAGGGAGTCTCATTTCACTTACTATGTTTCTCTAAATGCAGAAAGCTTAAAGACCTGTGATAATTAGTAATAGTAAGTCATAAGTTAGAAACAACTGAAGGCTGTGTGGCGGCGACTAATAAACGTTTTCTAGAGTTGTGGACACATTTCAAAGTCTTCAAGTCCATTGGTGAATAAATTATTCAGATCCTATTCTCCATCAGTTTGAGATATCACCTCGGATTCTGCTTCGGTAGTCCACACTGAGTCTCATACATATCCCTGTTTTGGGGGACGTTTTGTCCGTCTTGAGTAGTTTTTCTTCAGGTCTGGGGAAGAATCCCCGAGATGTTTCGTGAAATCTTGAAATTTCCTCAATATGTGTACAAAATCTTATAACACTTTGAGGTTTTTTCAAAATTTCTTCAAACTTCCAGGCAAACCATCATATATTTCCAACTTTGGTGGAAACTCCAAAATTCACTCAAAGATCCCCAAAATGTAGGAATACATGTCCGTTATTTTCCACGGCAATTGATATTAAAAAACTTACAAGTTTGAAGGATAAAATATAGCGATCAAATATTTTCCGACATAATCTTCTAATCTTGTCACACCCTTGATCCCACTCTGCAGAGATTTCGTAGAAAAAGCAGGTGCTCTGCTAGAAACTCGGCGAACCCGGAGGTCTTGAGAAAGCTTGAATTATATAAAAGATTATATAAAATTAACCTTCACTACCTTGTATTGTTTGTACATAGTTTCGTTGTCAGCAATAATATGTAGTACTTTTGAAAAATGACAACTTTCAAGGCCACTTGGAGGTTACTGACCGTTATTTTGTTATTCTGTCCTGGTTTTCTGATAATAAGATTCAAATAACTACTTATCACTTGGCTATCTACAGAATGTTTAAGGTGGCATTAGATTTTAATCTCTTGACTGATAACTTCCGATTCTTATCTACAGAAAGGAAAACCATGGAAGTCTCTGCACTTAATATCCATATGGTTCAAATGGTTCAAATGGTTAAGGACGGAATAGAAGAAGCTTTCGCTTAACGGGCTTCCGTGTCTGGTAGCAGTGGATCACCAATACCTCCAGGCAAGAACCTAGGTATATGAACGATAATAGAGGGGAAAAAATTTGGTAAATCATAATAATATGTTATCCTTAATTCTTAAGAATAAGTCAAGTTTCCTCTTAAAGGACTCCTGGGAGGTCGCTCGGACTAGCTCAGTCGGCAGCGAATTCCAGCACTTGACAACTCTAATGGAGTAGAAGTTGTGTCTGCAGTCTGTTCTGCTATGTAGGGTCTCCAATTTCTGGGTGTTACCTCTTAGGTTAGTGTTATGACTAAGCTTAGGAAGATGTTTAAGGGGATGACCAGAAGTATTAAGGATACTGTAAGTCATAAGAAGATCACCTCTAAGACGCCTGTACTCTAACGGGTAAAGGTTAAGTGATTTGAGGCGCTCTTCATAAAGTTTGAATTTGAGAAAGTAAAAGAAAGTTACAGCAGGATCACAACTGGCTTCTATTCTGAGCCATATCTGATAACGTCTCTAGCCACTGTGTTGCAACATCTCTTGGAACCCAGCCAGGAAGACGTGAAGAACCAACAGAACCAAAAAAGCTTTCTTACATACCACGATACTATGTCATACACTGACCACCTCTCCGCTTTTTCCAGCCAGCCGCAGCGTCGGCAAATAATGCACGACGTGGAAGTCTCTGGGACGACATTCGTGAAACATATCCAAGCCACCGAAGTCGGTGTTTCAAGATGGTGACACCAATTGAATTATCGTCTCTGTGCCCGAACACACAATGCCGAACCTCTGCATTACTAACATGGTGTTGCCACTGGATGTCAGCAATAATTCGGAGACAACGATGATCGAACACAGGGAGTCATCTAACATCCTCAACTCGGAGAGGCCAGGTTTCACAAGCATAGAGCAAAACTGCTCTCACCGACGCGTTGTAGACCCGACCTTTTACAGACAGACTCACATCATGAGGGTGCCAAAGATGTCCCAAATTGGCATAAGCTGCTCTAGCCTTCATTATACGTGCATCGATCTCACCACTCACGCCACCACCAGCACTTATGTAGCTACCTAGATCCACTGATTGCCAACTGATTAAGTGCAGATTGCATGCCTTGAGCATTATCACACAGTAAGACAATATCATCCGCATAATCAAGGTCGAGAAGTCGTTCTCCAGGCAGCAGATCCACACCGCTATTACTTACATCCATCAGAGCTGTTTCCAGAATTTCACTTATGGCAAAATTGAAGACGGATGGTGAGATCGGGCAACCCTGCCTAACCTCACTGCTTGAATGGAACAAGGAAGAAAGGTGGTTGTATGCCCTCACTCTGTCTGAGGTGTTTGTATACAGGGCCTTTAGGATGTTAATGAACTTCTCAGGCACACCCTTCTTCAATAGACAATCCCAGAGGACAGTCCTGTCCAACGAATTGAAGGCAGCCCTGATATCAAAAAATACTACGATTGTTAGCCTGTGATAAGTAAGACGGTGTTCTAACATTTGATCTATGCACCTGCCTGTTTCTTGCGAGTCAATGTTTCTCGGGTTGTAAACAATATACGAAGAATGACAGAAGTCAATAGTTTGGACGCAATCAGAAGTAGACTTATCCCTCGATAGTTGTTACAGGAACGACGTGAACCCTTTTTAACAATAAGGACAACTATCTCCTCATTCCGTGACGTTGGAACACTCTCTAGCTCCCAAACCTTTGTAAACAACTCAGTCAATTTCTTGGCGAGAAAGTCGCCACCATCTTTAAAAAGTGCCGGAGGTAAGTAATCTGGGCCCGGTGATTCGAAGCGTTTCAAGATTTAGAGTTCTTTGCGGACTTCTGCCTTATTTGGTGGATCAGTCTTCACTGTCCATTGAGGGCGGAACAATTTGGTCGATATTGCAGGACTGGCAGGCGAGTTGGACTGCCTTTCAAAGAATTATGCCCGTCGTCCAAGAAGTCGATACATGCTAGCGATTGGCATCCCATCATCCTCGCAGTTTGTTTCACTCACACCAGACTTCTTGCTGCCAGTGGCTCGGATGAGTTGGAAGGGCTTCCGGCAGTTACCAGATGCAGCTGCTTCTTCCATCTCATTAGCACGCTCCGACCACCAGGCTTCCCGGTCCTTACGCAAGCTTTGTCCGATTTCATTACGTAACAGTCTTCGTTTGTGGTCAAACTCACAGTTACCCGGAGTAGACCGACGAGCTTCGATCAGTTGTAAGGAGCCAGAAGAAACCAGTGCTTATAAGCCGGACGTTTCACGGAGCCGCAAGCGACTTTACTCGCCATTCTCATGGCGTCATGCAATTCCAAACAATTCTCATCTACACTTTTCGGTGGGATGGTAGCTAGGCAAGAAGCTAGCTCGGATACTAACTTGCCTGTGTCCTGTCTTCCAATCCTTTGGCACTTGTTCCTCTTACCAAATTTTCCTGATTAGAAGGTGGAGCATGTTTGCACTTACTTCCATGTCTGACTTCAATACTTCAGCTGGTACATTGTCGGGTTCTGCCTTTTACCAACTCTTGATTTGTCTGATGACCATCTTGACTACTTCGATCGTTGGTGAAGTGACATCTATAGGAAGGTCAGTGTGTGCTGCTTCCATGTCCTTTGAATTCAATGGGGCTGGTCTATTCAGCAGTTCGTCGACGTATTCTACCCATCTTTTCCTCTGTTCTTGAACCTCTGTGATTGTCTTTCCTTCTTTGTCTTTGATCGGTCCCTCCGGTTTCCTATATCTCTCTGCCAGTTTCTTCGTTTTATAATATAGTTGTTTCAAATACCCTTCTCTTGCAGTTTTTGCAGCCGTCGTTGCTAGTTCTTCCAATGTATTTCTGCAAATCAGCTTCAATTCTCTTCTTCACTTCTTTGTTTGCTTCTGCGTACTCTGATTGCGCCTTGACTTTCTCTGCTCGTGTTCGGCTGTTGTTAATTGCTAGTTTCTTGTTCTTCCTTTCTTGAATTTTGTCCAGGGATCCCATAGAGATCCATTCATTATGATGATGCTTCTTAGGACAGAGAACTTCCTGACACTTTGAAGTTAGTGCTTCATTGATCTCTTTCCAGTTGTTCTCCATAGTGATTTCTTCTTCATTCAGTAGATCCTATAAGGTTTGGAACCGGTTGTTGAGAATCATCTTGAATTGGTTTAGTTTGTCATTATGTTGAAGGAAGGCTGTATTGAACCTTTGTAGAGCTGTTTGTCCAGTTGTCCAGTCTTTCTTTAGCTTCAGTCTCATCTTGACCACAACCAGGTAGTGATCTGAAGCTATGTCAGCTCCTCTCCGGGTTCTCACATTTTCCATTGATCTTCGGAACTTTTTGTTAATACAGATGTGATCTATCTAGGTTTTCTGTGGTTTGGTCCGGTGAGATCCATGTGGCTTTGTGAATGCGCTTGTGTGGGAATATTGTGCCGCCTATAACCAATTTGTTGAATGCACATAGGTTTGCAAATCTCTCCCCATTTTTATTTCTCTCTCCTAGTCCATGTCGTCCAATTACATCTTCATATCCTGTGCTGTCCACTCCGATTTTAGCATTTAGGTCTCCTATTAGGATGGTGAGATACTTTCTTGAGCACTTAGCTATGATTGATTGCAGTTTCTCATAGAACTGGTCTTTATCGTCATCATTGCTATCAATGGTCGGTGCATAACATTGGATAACATTCATTGTGATTCCCTCCTTCATTGTTTTGAATGATGCTTTGATAATTCTGGATCCATGAGATTCCCATCCTACAAGTGCATTTCGTGCTTCTCTGTACAACATTAGAGCAAATCCTTGAGTGTGTGGAGCATTTTCCCCTTCGTGACCAAAGTGCAGCAGCATTTCTTGCGTATCTGGCTTTTGCTGTTCAGCTTGTGTTCAAATGGTTTCGCTGATTCCGAGTACTGCCGATTTTTATCTCCTCATTTCCATTGCCATTCGACTGGTCTTCCCGGTCTCCCACATTGTCCGGACGTTTCATGTACCTATGGAAATTGTTGCTCTGGTAGTTAGAAGGGGCATCTGCCTCATGAATTCCGAAGGATCTTTCCTTTCATCATGGGGCGTCATAATCGACTGCCTACTACCAGTGGTCGTACAACCACAGAACCTGTCACCCATCAACCGGTTAGCATGGAACAAAACAACCTCAGCGCGAATTTAGTGTGAGTTACTTCTTGTCTATCGTTCATCAGCTTTTTACTCATCTGTACACTATGTTGCCTTGCCATTAATATTATTTCACCACTCGTTATCTTACTTTATCTGTAACTAATATAAATCTGCATTTTTCCGCCTACTTTGGTAAGCAACTATCCAACATTATACCCTTCCTAAAGCCTATACTCAAATTGGCGACCTTTACTTTAAACAATAGTTAATTAAAGCCTTGCTTGGACGCCTTACCCACAGTGCATAATTTGTAACTGTCTTATAAGCTTGTAAAGTGGTACTTATAGAAATAGTGTTTTCCAACAGAATGTGAAACACGGAGCACTGTGTGAGGTGGGATATACACCCGAAAATAAACCTAAATGAGCTCAACACCACAAAAGGAGGGGGGGGCTGAAGTTACTGACCAGCAAGCATAGATGGCGTGGGCGATAATTTAAATCCACCCGTGTTTGTGGGGCAGAACATTTTGTTTGTATCAGGCTCTTTATGGATAAGAACAAGTCAAACAATCTGTGATAATGGTGTTGT